TGGGGAGTAAATCCTAGAGGATTGAATCCGCTTAAGTTATGGCAAATGGATGTTACTCATATTCCCGAATTTGGGACATTAAAATATGTGCATGTATCTATGGATACCTGTTCTGGAGTGATACATGCTACCCCCTTAAGTGGGAAAAAATCAAGGAATGTAATTTCCCACTGCTTGGAAGCTTGGGCTGCATGGGGCATGCCACAACAACTGAAAACAGAAAAGGATACACTGGTCCGTTAATCATTTATCTTGGGTCTGGTGAACTCATTTATACCCCTTCCTTCAACTGGCACCCATGTGGGTATATTTCTGCTATCAGGCCGAGCCGAGTGTGTCTCTCAGTTGCTACAGACATGCCCACCTGCAATAGCAAGCACCCTGCTGTGCAGTCTACCAGTTTTGGAGAGAAATATAAGATTTCTAAATACTCCTTAGTGATCAGCTGGATTTCATTTGAATCTATTGCAAGCCTCTCTCTTCTGTCTCTGATGTTATTTATTTGGTTATGATTCCTTTGCTCTAGTTTGTTTTGCATGCTATTGTCTATCTACTCAAAGAACAAACTTTTTGAATAATTTTATTTTAACAAACATTTAATTAATTTCTGCCATAATATTTATCACCTTTTATGATTCACTGCAATTGTGTTTGATTTGATCATTTCCTTACACTTTGAGGCTCATCATTAGGTACTTAATTGAGAATTCTCTAAATTTGGTCATTTACTTCATGTCTTTCTGGTTTTTAATGTAGGTATTTAAAGTCATAAACATACCTCTCAGCATCACATAGCTACCTCAAAAGATGCAGTGAAGTTTTGCTGTTATTTTAATTTGATTCTGGAAATTGTTTTCTTCCTGACTTCTTCAATAAATCAATGGTAATTCAACAGGCTACTGGGAAGTCTTCAATTAATTATTTATTCACTGTAATTTCTCTCTGTACTGGTTTCTGGTTTCATTTAGATTCTCTTATTCTTCTTAAGACTTACATTGTGGCTTAAAGTGAAGTCTAATTTTAGAAGGTTGATTGGATGCTAAAAATGATATATAATATACATGTATCCATGATAGATGGGATATATATTTTTAAATGATATGTGAGTTTTTATTTTTCATTTTATTTTTATAATTGTAATTAGACCAATTTTTCCCATTTTTAATTATTTTTTGTTTTATTAGTTCAAATTAGGAGCAAGCTTGCTTCAGATGTCAATCCCTTCTCCCTCTCCCTCCCCTTCCTGGCAACATCCCACCTGCCCCTACCCATCCCCCTTCTACTCCCCAGGCAGGGTAAGAATTAGACCAATTTTAATTTAGAAATAAGCTTCTTTTATATGTCAATCCCAGTTCCCTCTCTCTACCCTCCTTCCCTGCTTCCCGCCCTCTTTAGATGGGATATATTTTAGATGTCATGGTGACCATTCACTTCTCATGCAGTTTAATTAAAAATTTATCTGGTGGTTTTGAGTTTGAATCTAAAAAAGAGATCAGTGTGCTGAAATTACAGTCTGCTCTTGTATCAGGACAAATTTGCCATTCTATATCTGTAGTAGCACCCCCCATTTTTTCTTGCAGTCCCTTGACCATCAGCTCACAAAATCAAATGGGCAAAAGGAGCAACACAGAGTTTGAAAGTCTTATATAAATAGTGAAAATAGCCTGGAATGAAGCTTCAGTGAGGCAGCTCATCTTTATTTCTGAGTGAAGGCAGATGTAATGGATGGGGTCTGTGGTTGGGGATTAAATAATTTGTATTAAACAGCATGATCTTAGAAGTCATAGTTATATCATCTGTAGAGGCACAGTCATTCAAAGTTCCTAGCACAATGTCTAAGAGGGAAAGGGGAATGTAACCAGGGATAGGGGGCAGGAGTATTTGTCCTGGAGGGGAAAAGGACTGCCTCTGGATAGAAATCAAGTTATCACATGGAAAGAAATTTTGGCACATTTACACAATGGAAAATTACTCAGATGAAAAAAAACTATGATATCCTAAAATTTGCAGGCAAATGGTTGGAATTAGAAAAGAAAAACATCCTGATTGAAGTATCCCAAACACTAAAAGGCAAACAGGGTATTTACTCACTCATAAGTAGATACTACATGTAAATCAGAGAATATCCAGGCTACAAGCCACAGCTCCAGAGAAGCTAGCTAAGAAAGAGGACCCTAGGAGGGATGCATGGATCACCCTGGGATGAGGAATTAGATTAGATAGCCTGCGTAAACTTGGGGCAAATGGGATGGTAAAGGGGGGGATGATGGATGAGAACATGAGGGAACATGGGAGGGATAGAGGTGGAAACCAATGAAAGAGATAACTTGATAGAAAGAGCTAAAACTAACAATAGTAGAGAGGGTGCCTGAACTGACTTTACCCTGCAATCAGACTGGTGAATACTCCAATTGTCATTAATTATAGCACCTTCATCCAGTAATTGATGGAACCAGATGTAGAGATCACAATCAAGCACAAGGCCAATCTCAGGAAATACATTCAAAGACAGGGAGGAGGGAATATATGAACAAAGGAGGTCAATATCATGAAGGGGAAATCTAGAGACAGCTGAACCAAGCTCCTGGGAACTCATGAACTCTAGACCAACAACTGTGGAGCTCCATGGGACAGAACTAGGCCTACTGCATGTGAGAGGCAAATGTGTAGCTTGGCCTAACTGAAGAACCCTTGGCAGTAGGACCAGAAGATATTCCTGGTACAAGAACTAGCTTGTTGAAGTCCATTCAATATGGTGTGGTGCCACGCTCAGCCTTTAAGGGGGGGTGTCTTGGTCTTGCCTCAACTTACTGTGCCAAGCTTTGTTGACAACCTATGGGAGGTCTTACCCTTTGGAAGGAGTGGATGGGGTTAGGCTGTGGGGGAAGTGAGAGGGAACAGAAGAAGGGGTGAGAGGGAAAACTGTGTTTGGTATGTAAAATAAATTATAAGTAAATAGATAAAAGAAAAAGAAAAATGACAGTTTACAAAGGTAAAAGCCCAGTGTTAGGATGAGGTGCTTAATTTAAATTGAACATGTTAATTAGGTGAGTCACTAGGGGATTTTGATTGCTGAATTTTGATATTTTGGTATCTGGACCTTGGTAGTCAGCCTCAGGATGAGGGAATGGCAAATAGACTTTGGGCTCAAGTTCAGGGAAGTAATCTGATAGTTTTAGCAAGGCAGAGGGAATTCAGAAGTTCAAAACCTGATAGCCACATGATCCAGTGGGCTAGTGTCCCTCCCTTCACTGTAGGTTGTATTTCATACACTGAAATTCCAATTGTGTTTCCCTTGTTTTGCTTATTCTATTTATGTTGCTTATTGTTTTACTCATCTTGTTTATGTTTTCCTATACATCAGTATCCTTCCTCCCTACATCATTGACTGAAAAAAATAGTTTCTATTTTTTGTGGTATTCTGTGTATATTTCACCTATTCCAGATCATTGAGTTGAATACTTGAGTAAATTATGATAATTTGAGGACAACCTTTTTTACTTGATTTTTATAATTTTGCATTTCTGTGTTATGATCCACATCTTTTGGTGTAAGTACCTCTTTTAGTTATTTGAGGTTTTTCTACATTGAGCAACCTACACTCAAGTGTTCACTGCTCAGAATCACTCTTTAAGGTATTTGGAGATCTTTAGCAATTTTATGTAGTCTGTAACACACATGTTCCCTGCCATAGCTTCAAAATAGGAAATGTATTTTAATCACATTATGGACATAATTAGTTAGAATAAATTTTATACAGAGGCACAATATATCTGTTCTAAAAATGTTGAAATGAAATGCAAAGGCCGGAAGGCAGCATCTGCTGACACAAATTATATCCAAAGTAAGAGTGAGGGGAGATTTATCAGTCTCCACAGTTGGCAATCAGATAGAGGTACTTCAGAAGGAGATGTGACCCCAGAAAGAAAGGCAACAAATATCACAATTTTCCTTCTTTGCAGATCCAAAATATGTGGATTCTAAGTAGTAAAGTTCATGTGTCTGTATATGTGTATTTCTATGAGTTCATAAGTGTGTGCCTGTGTGTATGCATAAGTATTGTGCGTATGTGTGTATGTATTTGGATGTGTACCTCTGTGTATATGTGTGTATAAGTGTGTACGTGGGTGTGGAGTGGGTGTGGCCATGAGGCTTTTGTATGCATGAAAGACAAAGGGACAAAAGTAGAACATGGACTAGGGGAAGAAGATACCAGGAAAGGGAGGGAGAAATAGGGAAGGTTAGTGCATATCTGATATGCTGGAGAAACATTGTGTGCAATAAATTTATATCAATAAAAGGTTTTAAGGGGCTGCAAGATGGCTCACGTTGCAAAGACAATTGCCACCAAACATGATCAAACCTGACTTTGATCTGAAGAACTCAAATGACAAAGATTCGGTCAAGTCCAAGCTGTACTCTGACCTCCACAACTATGCCACATCATATTTGTACCTAGAAACAAGCACACACATAAACACAGACACAAATGCACACTCACCTGGACACAGTAAAGGGTACTTAATTAATTAAAATGTAATAAAAATTTAGATAATTTACAAAAAGGAAAAGAGAGAAGAAATGAGTACAAATAAGGAAGAAAATACTCCAGAATCTAGAATCAGGAAATACTCTTTCCTACAGCATCCAAACCAAAAGACAGGTTGCCATCATCATCACTTTATCCCAAAGAGTCTTATGATAGACACCAGAACTCTAAAACTACAAAAAGATAAATCCCTCCTACTCAATCAACAGAGTTTGTGGTGATGTGTTACAGAAGGAATTGAAAGATAATACTGAGTTCTTTTTCACATTTTCATATAAACATTTTCATTCTAAAAGGCATAAGAAACATTGAACTCATTATATATTCTAAGCTTTGCAAACTTTTTCATCTGTGTTTCAGCAGCTCCAGTTTCATGCAGAAGTGGGAAGTTTGCAAGTTCAGTGCTGTGTGTGGTGCAGGCAGCTGGTGAAACTCAGGTTTTTGTTGGAGGCTAAAGCATTGTGTGAGGAGATCTGTAATGCTTCACACAGTAATAATCTCCCAGGTCTTCAGCCTGTACACTGCTAATGCTGAGAGTGAAGTCTGTCCCAGATCCACCACCTGTGAAGCGATCGGGGACCCCAGTGTGCCGAGTGGATGCATAGTAGATCAGCAGTTTTGGAGCCTGCCCTGGTTTCTGCTGGTACCAGGCCAAGTAGTTCACCTGGTAGGTGCTTGAATAAAGACTTTGACTGGACTTGCAACTGATGGTAACCTTCTCTCCTGCTGACACAGCCAGGGAAGTTGGAGACTGGGTCATCACAATATCTGCACAGATCCCTGCAATCAGGAATACATAATGAAGTTGAATAATATGCAAACACAGAATGTAATAACCATTGAAATTTGTCATTTACTACCCTTGTAATATATTGTAGAAGTGTATTTCTGACAAAATAGTGTAAGATATATTACATGCTAACACACATTGTAAATTTCTTCTGTACAAAGAAGTGACTATAAATGGCTTATAATACTTTTGAATTTCTCACCAGACACTCCAAGCAACAGGAATATGAGGACATGGGTCTGTGATTCCATCTTGTTCCCCCTGATATTTGATGCAACTCAGATCTCACTGAAAAGGCCTGGCTTATAAATTCTTGGTGGTTGGGCTGGTATGGAGGGATCTATGCAAAACAGTGATCAGATACATAAGAAAATGTCTGAGGGGTATGTGTGAGTGGCTGGTGTCAATCAACAAGCAAAAATAGCATCACAGTGAATGTGAGCAGTCATTGAAAGATACCCATTTACAGCTGTGAAATGGAAATCCAATAGGTACTCTAGTAACAAATCTGGTTTAAAATCCAAGACATATTTAAATCAGTTTGCTTTGCATAAATGATGGGAAAGCTATCTCATATTGACAGTACTATGGAAATGATAAAATATGTTCAAAATCACAACAAAAGAAAATATGCAATAAAAGAGATGAATAAGAGGGAGAAAAGAGGAAAATTGAGAGAGAGAGAGAGAGAGAGAGAGAGAGAGAGAGAGAGAGAGAGAGACACACACACACAGAGAAAATTGAAGCCTTTTTTATCTCCCAACTCTAAAGTCATTTTTATACTAAGGACAATGAACAGTGCCTCAGACGATGAGCTTCAGTTTCCAGACTGATCACGGTACAGAGATGCAAAGAGTAGCCCAAGTTCACTCCTTTTGAAATCCTGAGGAACATTAATTTCTTTTTGCTTATAAATTACATTTATTAGTATGGTCAGGATAAGAAAGGAGTTTGGGCTTTCATTATAAAATGCAGCATTTTTCTCCGAATCTCTTGGCTAAACTTTTCCTCTTCTTGTTTCCATTCTTTTCTTTGCTGTCTTCCATCTTTTTGGCTCGGATTTCCCTCATTAAATCAAAAAATACTTTGTCAACATTGGCTCGAGTTTTAGCAGATGTCTCCACGTAGTTAACATTCCACTGCTCAGTTCTGTTTTTTTTTGCCTCTTCTACCGAAACCTGCCTTTTATCTTCCAAATCTGATTTGTTACCAACCAGGAAAAATGGAATATTCTCATCTTCTTTTACTCTTAAAATCTGCTCCCTGAAGTCAGCTGTGGCTGTAAAGATTCCATCTTTGTGATAGATCAGACGCAGAGGAACCCCGCCCCACTTCGGAAGTAGTTGTCCCTAACTGCAACATAGTCCTCCTGCCCCGCTGCATCTAAGATGTCGATATGCACCTCTTTCCCATGCAGCACTACCTTCTTCCTGTAGCTGTCTGCTTTGTTAGGTTCATAGTCCTCTACAAACTCATACATGAACTGTAGAGTCAGGGCAGACTTGCCCACACCACCACTGCCCACCATGACGACTTTGTATAAGGCCAAAGAATTCTGACCCTTGGGTTTATTTGCAGCCATTCTGTTTGCCAGAGTCTTCAGAGGATTAAGAAAAATCTCCCAATGCCTGACCGGGTTCCCGGGCAGTGCGTCTCCACCTCCTCAGGACACAGAGAGGCTCCTAGGGAAAGGGGAGGGAGAGGCCACCATCTTGCTTCTAGGGGCTGCTGGTTTCTCTGAGGAACATTAATTTAATCCCAGGATCAGATAACCCTTCATCTCAAAGCAATGGTAAACACAGCAGAAACTAACAAGTATCCTCCCCACAACTTTGGGGAACTGAAAGAGGGCCCAAAATTTAGGGAAATGAAAGGGGAATAAAATAACGCAGATTTCTTCAAGAAGTCATGGTTGTAGCCGAACACTACTAAGAGTCTTTATTCCAGAAACACATATTCTAGAGCAATCTAGAAAATAGCAGCATTGAAGCTTGGTTAAAATGGTCTTGCTGACACAGTAAACATGTAAAAATCTTTCCAGGAGGAGGAGGAACAGCTATTCTAAATCAAGCAGTAAATTTACAGAGACCAATAGACCACAACATCAGAGATTATAGCCATGTAACGAAAAAAAAGTCTGAGTATGAATAAAAATCAAGAGCAATCATAGAAATCATAAGACACGGCTGAACTTCAGATTGGTGAACTCTGAAAGTATATGTAAGAAGTAAATTAGAAACCCAGTATTGTAGGCCAGGCAGTGGTGGCACACGCCTTTAATGCAGGCACTTAGGAGGCAGAGGCAGGCAAGTCTCTGTGAGTTCGAGAAAAGCCTGGTCTATAAGAACTAGTTCTAGGACAGGTTCCAAAGCTACACAGGGAAATCCTTTCTTGAAAAAACATAAAAAAATTAGAAACCCAGTATTATAAGTAAAGTACAAGAAATAGAAAAATAAATAAATAATATGTCACAGCAAGGAACAGAAATTCAGATCTGTAATTCCAGAACTGGGGAGACAGAAGCAGGAGCATCATGAGCTTGATGCCAGCCTGGGTTGCAAAACAAGTCTAAGCCAGTCTAATCTATGGATACAAAAATCTTTCAAAACTGTGTGTTATTAATCAAGTGATTATAAAGCAGACCCTGACATTTGATATCCAATCAAAGTATTGGTCTAATGCTAAGGTTTTATCATTAAGCCAAGAATATTATGGAAAATTAAATATGCATTTAAGCAATATGCATTGCCCTTTTACTTTTTATTAAATATATAATTTTATGTATTAATTTTCAGGTATAAAATGTTAGATTATTTCTGAAAGGTATATTCAGATCTCCTGTGTAAACTACTAACATACCATCATATGAGAGAGACAAACAGTATATGGATTAAGGAAGTTCCTAATCTCAAGGTCAAGAATATGGCAGATGAGTAACTGACCCAGTCAGTGTCTAAGAAGCTGTCATGTCCTCTCAATCTTTGTTAAACTTCATATTTTGCTTTGTGAGAGCTGAAATCTCTGATTGTACTATCATGATGTCATTTGCTATTGCTCATTCAAATGGGACACATGAATACTGGGGTCTCACAAATCCAAAGGCTCCTTCAGTTAAACATGTGTTTCTTGCAGTGTGTAAGGGGAGATTATGGGGACTCAAAAGATAAAAATTCCATGTTATATCATGTATAATATAAGAAGCCCTACAGTCCTTAGTTATTGATCAAGCTTTCACAGTATGTCCTAGAACACTCTATTCCCTGGGATTTCATTAAAAAAATGAATTATAAGCCGGCTGGCTGAAAACAATACTGATTCCTTTGATCCCATATTTGGAATCAGGAAGTCTGATGTTAATAACCTTGAACTCCTGGGAGAAAGTACTGTCTTCCATGGACGTAGCCATAGATGGTGGCACAGCGAATGTGGGTCTAAGATGTAAACTCTCCTTAGAGAGTACAAGGCTGAACGTGGCTTTACTGTTCCAGCACATAGAATTTTCATTACCTGGATGAGTACCTGTGGCTACCCAATATGAGTGAAAAGAAATAGTAGACACAGGAAGATCTTCAATAACTCAGATAAAACATTAACATGTTTTTCTTTGTTAAGATCAGCAGTGGGGTACCTGAGGCATAGAAGTTTATTATTGCCTTGGAGTTACTGGAGGTCCTTAATCAGAGTGACAGTCATGAACAAAATCTGCCTTGCTTGAGGAGCCTAGAATCTACATGTACTGCTTCTCTCAAGAGGGCCTGTGCAGATTCTCTGACTTTGTGTGAGAAGATGAAGTTGGAGAAGCAGCCTGTCATAGTTGGGTGCTATTTTCCAACAGTTCCAATATGCATTTAAGATAAACAAATTATCGAGACTTCAGCTTCAATTACAACAGATGACATACTAGTAGAAAAATAAATATAGATAATGTGAGTGATATATATATATCAAATATGGGTAATATATAATATATTCATATATATATATATATATATATATATATATATATATATATATATATGCATGTCTGTGCAGGATGTTTGTACCTACAGAAGCCAGAAGAAGGAGTCAGATCCCTTGGAAGTGGAATTAAAAATCATTGTGAGACACCATGAGGATGCTTAAAGTTTAACCTAGATCCGCTGCAAGAGCAGCCAGTGCATTCCTGTTATGATAAATCTTTCCACCAAAAGCCGCCGAGCCCCACCATCATGTGTGCCCTTTATACCAGCTGCCTGCCTGAGTTAGGGCCCCAATTAATACACAGAAACTTGTATTAGGTTCAAATGCTGCTTGGCCAATGATTAGGATTTCTCATCCGCTATCTCAGTCTTAATTATCAGAAATCTATATATTTCATAAGACTTATCTTATTGGATGCTTCCAATGGCCCCCTCCCTTGCCGGTGGATCACATCGAGCCTCTGGATGAAGAACGGAAGGGGAAAGGGGCACTTCCTGTTTCTCCTTGCTTAAATATGAGTCTCCTTGCTATATCACTTCCTGCCTGGATCACCACTTCTCTACTACATTTCCCAGAATCCTCTTTGACTCCTAGTCCTGTCTAACTTGCTGTCTCATTGGCCAAACAGAACTTTTTCAATAATCAATAAGATAAACATACACAGAAGTACATTCCCCATCACATTCCCTTAACCAATGACACATCTCTCCATACATATAAATATCTTCTACATAAATAGATAATGAGGAAGATCCCAGAAAAAGTAAAAAAACTGTACACTGCTGAGGCCTAGACATGAGACTAGTAGGGAGGGCAATGGAAAGAGGCAGATATGTGAATAAATGGCTTCAAAAGGCTCCTCCTGCCTTGTAAACACTTCATGAATAGTAAGAGAAACTCATGAGAAAAACTCAGTGCTTGTATTTAATCTTGTTCCCTGCCCCCAGCTTCTTAGTTCAGGGCTCCTAGAGAATATCATAATCCAGAATACAATTTTTCTCTGAATTTTGAATGGAGAGTTGACCTCTATTTCAGGAAGAAGTACATCAGTGATGACATCACTTCCAAGTTCATAAGGATGTGCCCTTGTCTCTCTTTGTTGCTGTGACAAAACTCCTATAAAAGCAAGTAAAGGAACCAATGTTCCTCACCTGGGTACACAGTTCAAGCATACAACAATTATAATGTAGAAGACAAAATGGAATGATCATGAAACAGCTGCTACCATCACAGTGATAAGCAGAGAATGCAGAATGCTAGAGCTCATCTTGCATTCTCCATTTTGTCCAGAACATGACCATGACAGAGGGCATGGTCTTGCTCACAGTTGAAAGGGTTTTCCTATGTCAATTCATCTATCCAGATGATCCCTCACAAGCATTACCAGAGGCTAACCTTAATTTATACATCTCACAAGTATGATCAGAGGCTTACCTTCTAGGGGATCCTAGTTTCTGTCACATTGACGATTAACACTATACATTGTGGTCCCAATGTTAATGCAATTTCAGTGAGGGAATGGTATGTCATGAATGTCGCCATTATGTTTTTTCCATATTTGTAGAGAAATGTTTATGTAAAACTTTAAAAATTCATTAGGGAAGACTAAATGATGTTTCAAAATTTATGCACATATAGATAGATAGATAGATAGATAGATAGATAGATAGATAGATAGAAAATACATCAATAATTTACCTTTGTGGTACGTGAATCAAAATCATTTAGCAGTATTGAAGTCTGTATCTTTGTTAACTATAGTCACTGTACCAATAGATGTCCAGGATTCAATCATTGTCATTGTAACTTTCTAGTTCTTTGTTTAATGATGGTCACTACATATACCTTAGATCACAGCACACATTCTCACTCAAACCAGGAGAGCATAGATGACCTTCCAGAAATGGATTACCCCCAATCATATATCTCACAATGTACTGAGAGAAATGGTAACTTCAGAGAGACCCTGAAGTTATGAGCAGAGAAAGACTGACCAAAAGACAAAGCAGACTGGGAAGGATAAAAAGAAAAGCAGGGGAGGGAGTTCAAGACCATGTCTCTGACACACAGAAGTTATATTTAGTCCTTTATTGTGGGAGAAGAATCCTATGGCAATGTGACTTTCCTCTGCCTCTCTGAGCCAGCCAAGCTAGTCCACACTATATGCCTCAGGAACATACCCAGGCTTGTGTTAGTGTCTAAGCTTGTGTTCACTTCTGGACATGTCCACACCTGGCTCTAGCAATCTATCAGAACACTTCAGGGTTTTCTCTCTTACCTGCATATTACCCTGAGGCCATGGTAAACAATAGTAGCCCTACTGGCATTAATAATACAATGGTGAGCCAGAGCTTTCCGGTGCTCTATGTTTACAGGGGCTAGAGGCTGGGCCCCAAAATATTCCATAACAGAATTATTCGGTTCTCCACAATACCTCTCTCTTAAATTAATAAAAAGAAACCTGTGCCTCTGCACCAGGACAGATGACTGCGCCTGTCTTGATTGTTCCCTTCAACCTACCATGGGTGCCTGTCATAGAATCACGCATTCTGTCATGCGTGTTCTGTCTTAGGATTCCCTGAAGGCAAGGAAACCCATACCCGTCTCTGGCTGGAAACAGTC